ACACACACACACACACACACACACACACACACACACACACACACACACGGATATTGCTGATAGAGCCAAGTCCATATTCCCGTACAATAACAGCTCTGTGCACGTATGGTAGCTGTGCTTTCACAGCCATTCGTCCTAGTTTCACATAGTCTCTACTACAGTTTGTTGCTTTGTCTGTTTTCTGTAGCACAGTTAGGAGGAAAGCTAATTTATTGTTGAAGTCTCATTGCATGGTAAGCATTGTTCTAAGGTGTGATGATTGGGGGGAGGGGAACCAACCACACAGACACAGTACTAAACTCACAGTGAATTGCAAATAGTAATTTCTGTTCCCATCAAAAATTGAAAAGCGAAGGTAGAAAACAAAACAAATGAATAAACAAAGCTGGGAATGGTGGTACACACCTGTAATCCAGCACACAGGGAGGCAGAGGCAGAGAAGCAGAGAGAGGCAGAGACACAGAAGCAGGTGTATCTCTGTGAGTTTGAGGCCAACCTGGTCTACTAAATGAGGTCAGGATAGCCAAGGCTACACAGAGAAACCCTGCCTCAAAAAACAAACAAAAAACCCCAAAGCTGGAGCTGGGCAGTGGTAGCACATGCCTTTAATCCCAGTACTTGGGAGATAGAGACAGGCAGGTCTCTAAGGCCAGCTTGGCCTACATAGTGAGTTCCAGGATAGCTAGGGCTATACAGAAAAATCCTGTCTCAAAAAGCAAAAACAAACAACATACATAAAAACCAAAGCTGGGTGTGATAGCTTGACATATATAATCCCAGAACTCAGAGGCTGAGGCGGGAGAAGTACTATGAGTTTAAAGCCTGCCTAGCAATTCTAGGTCAGCCTAGACTAGAGTGAGTGAGTGGCCTGCGTCAACAAAACAACAACAAATTAAAGACAGGAAAAGTACAATGTTGGAAGATATGAAATAAGCACATTATAGGATATATGAATGTGTCATAGTGAAACTCATTCTTCTGTATAGTTAATATACAATATACATTTATACTATAAAACAAATTAGAGAGTGCTATATATTTAAGGGAAAACAGAAGAATATATATATTTTAAAATTAAAACAATCCCCACATACTTAAGAGGCTAAGTGTGGCTGTATGAAAATTATCCTACTGACTCATGTGCTTTACTTCATAGATGGAGTCCCCTTTCCCTTGTGAAATCTAAGTGCCAGTTAGACCAGCACAGGCCACATAGGTTTTCTTACCTCTGTGCAAAGTATCCTCAGTTCCCTTTGGAGGCAGATTTCTACCTCTGATCTCTGTTGGAGAAGTGCTGCCGCTGCCTCCTTCCTTCTCACCTAGTAGTTACCACCTCAGTAGGTCCACTGTAGTGGCTGACATCTTCAGGATGACAAATCTTACTAGGTTCCAATTTTGATCTAATGGTTAAATCTTTTCCTCTTAGAGATGGGGCCTTTTATAGACATAGATGCATGATACTGTGGTTCTGATTGTGTTGGGTGTAGTGATCCCTTGCTTTGTTTTAAAGATCTGTTATGATTTTAGGCAATTCAACTCTGGACTGCCTTGCTGAGTTTTCAGCCCTGGATGGAAAGGTCATCTTTCTTCAGCACTGCTCCCATCTGGTGGCTGTTATCTCTCATTGCAGCAGCATGACCTGCTTTACAAAGGAGTGGCTTGGTCTTCAGTGATGCTAGGTCCCACACATTAAAATGCCTTTAAAATACAGATTCATGGGGAGGTGAACATTCACCAACTCTTCAGGCAAGAAAAGCAAGAGCTATAACGAACAGCTTATGAAGTAATGTGTATATTTGTAAGGTTTTTTTTTTTTTTTTTTCAACTTTGTGAAGCCTGGGTTGTCATTTCTGGTCGTTAGTTGTCAGTGAAATGAAGGGTTGCGTATTTCCAGTGAAGACATACTTATTTGCTCATTTAATTCAGCAGAGATGTCAGATTTTGCCTTGTTAAATGAAGAGGTATCGTATGGCTTTTTGTCATGATAGATGAAGTGGAAGAAACCAGTTTTTGGACAATCAGGAGAATGACACCACTCCAGGTTCTGCCCTCAACTAGCTGTGAGACTCCTAAAGCATCTCTCTGTTTCTTTACCCACAAAACAGGTTTTTTTTCAGGGGCTTCATGCTTCTTTATGGGTGATACTCTGCCAAGTCTATAGCTGAAAGAAATTATAAAGTATTCAAAATATCCAGCAAAATAAATATCTTCTTGAACTGTATATAAAACAATTATGAATATAAATGGAGGCTTTGAAATTTGTGCAACTACTTTCTCCAATTCTAATAAACTGTGAGATACACCATAGTTCTAACAATTTTGGAGGGGGAATAAGAGATAAGTGGTGCTACAGGATATGTATGTGCTACTAGACAAAACCTGATGCATATTTCTTGCATTTAATTTATGTTGTATCTCTTTAAAATTGTATATTCTAAAGATATGCATGATGGAATTGAGGAATTGTACGCTGAGTATGGTGGTTCAAACTTGATAATCCTGGTAGCTGCCAGGGCAGAGGCAGGAGAGCCAGCACAAGGCCAGCCAAGGCCACATGAGACCCTACCTCAGAAGACAGGAGTAATTTAGGAAGAAATAGGGATAGAGAGGAAGAGAGAAAAGACTTCATTTTTGATTCTTTTTTTTTTTTAAATAAATACTCAATTGGGTGTGGTTGTGTATGCCTCAGTCCCAGCACTTAGCACTTACATGGCTCTTAGCACTTACAGAGCTCTGTGGGTTGAGGCTAGCCTTGTCTGCAGAGTTCCAGAACAGCCAGTGCTACATACAGGAGCCCTCTCTCAAAAAACCAAAAATAAAAAGTAAGTACTCAAAAATTCTACATTTAAAATTGATAATGGAACAGTTTAATACATTCTAAGAAAATAAAAGCTGTTATTTTGAATGAAAATTAATAGACATAGTGGTTGCTATTACAGCTTCAGTGGGAAATCTCTATGTTTATCTGAACATTAAGAATGTAGTTGTAGGGGCTGGAGAGATGGCTCAGAGCATCTTAAGAGCACTGCTTGCTCTTCCAGAGGTCCTGAGTTCAATTCCCAGCAACCACATGGTGGCTCACAGCCATCTATAATGGAATCTGGTGCCCTCTTCTGCCATGCAGGTGTACATGCAAACAGAATACTATATAATAATAAATAAATGTTAAAATAAAAAGAACGTAGTTGTAGTGGCAGACAATAGAGACACGTAATCTCTCATACATCTTGATTACAATGTGGATTTGGATTCATTTGAGTCCATTAACATATTTTTACAGAATGATATATGTGTTTATGAAAATAAGATACAATACTTTATGAGTAAGGCTCTAGTGGCTGCAAGGAAGAGATCAGGGTAGCTCAAATAGTTACTATAAAGCCAGTAAGTGCTAGGGACACTAGCAGACAGGCACTGAAGTGTCACTCAGCCTCAGGGTAGTTCAGATGGTTCCAGTGGATTCTGAATCCTGATTCCCAGAGGCCTACGATCTCTGTATTGGCTGGTAAAGTTGGTTTCTACCAACTTTTCAAATGCTGCTAGTTCAATACTATATAATATCCTCAGCCCAAGTTGTCATACTGATGACTTCTCTCTGTGTTCACTTCTATCCAATTTGTGCCAACTGTATGCACAGAATAAATTAGTGATGTTTTTGCTACACAGGATCAATGTGCAGGGTCTTTGAGCTAAGTGATGAAGGTATGCTAGGCAGGCAGTTGGGCTGTGTGTTCCATTGAACTGCTGCTTCCTCCAAGACTTTGACCCGTCACTATCTGACCCTCTTAACAAAGGCAGCACACCTCAGACTAGTGCTTCAGGGGTGAGGTTAGGAGTTCTAAGACTAAGACTATGTAGAACTCCGAGACTGAATTAATTTAGGACATTTGAGAATTCCAGCTAAAGTTATATAAACTTGTATTAGTGAATTGCAAACTGTCTTTGGATAAAGGAAAGAAGGGTGTTGCTCAGTGAGTCCGGATGTCCCACTATGAGCAGCTCACTCACAGTGGGTCTCATACTCACCAGCATGTGCAATGACAGGATGTGGGAGTCCTGATGGTCTCCCATTATACCTGAATGGGAGGTGGAATGAGAAGGGGAAGGAGAAAGGAAAAGGAGATTTCTGAAATAAGTTGAGAGCTTATTGATGTATATGTTAGCAAGTGCTAGAAGAATTTTCTAGCCTTTCTGAGAAGAAAGAACTAGGCATAATTTAAAACAAAACAAACACCTACAATAACAACAAACCCTTGTAGCTTCTTCAGAAGGTAGTTGCTCTTTCTTGATTCTGGGTTAGAGGTTCTCTGACTCAGGCTGAAAGTTCCAGGAGTGTAAAAATGCTCTAGGCAGGGACACCTTGAAGACTGCCTAATAGCAATGTCAGTGCCACGAGAGGTGATGGCAGCAGCCTGGGGTTCTGACTGACTTTGCACATTACTTAAAAGAGCTTCTCCGTGTGTGCTTCTTCGCAGGTGGATTCGCTCTCGTCTTTCTGGTGAGAACAAGCAATGGGGTGAAATGTGCCTTGAAACGTATGTTTGTCAACAATGAGCATGACCTCCAGGTGTGCAAGAGGGAAATCCAGATCATGGTGAGGCTTTGTGCTTGTTATTGCTGCTTTTTCTTCTTCTTTTGTAATCTTTACATATTTTTAAAATAGTGTTTCTATTCATTTCTTGAAAATTTAATATATGTTTTGATCATAGTCATTTCCTTACCCCAACTCTTCCCAGATCCTCCCCCACCTCTCTACTCATCCAACTTTTTGTGTTCTCTGTGTTAAAACCCACGGAGTTCAGTTTTGTTTTGGCTAGGTACACCTAGGTGTGGAGCCTGCCCTGAAGTGTGTCTGCTATACCAGGTGCCACACCATTGATGAGAACTGACTTTCCCTCTTTCAGGAGTAATCAAATTCCAGCAGCTTCTCAGCTAGGGGTGGGCTTCATGTCTGTCTCCCCTCCTTCATGCTGGCTTGAGCTTTTGCAGGTCTTGTGATAAAAGTTCATGTGTGCATTTGCCCTGCTGGGGAAAACACAGGTATTCTGTGCTGCCTTAGAAGAGTCACTGGACAGAGGCTGACACCCTTCCTTGAGCTGGCAGCAAGATACACAAAGTAAGACCAACAACCAGTGTCCAGGTCTCTGTTCCTGCCTCGATCACCCTCAAGTGGACACTGAGGGAAAAGGAGATTATTGGGGGAGCTGACCAGTTTCATTCAGAAAATAGTTTGGGATTTGGGAAAAGCATTTACTCTGGAAAGTCTAAGGTTCTGGGAGCTGTTTTCTCTTTCTGCCTTTCATCAGTTACCAGTCCCTTGTTCTGGTCTGGTCGCCAACCCCCTGAGCCCTTTTGTAGCCAGTGAACATGTCCTGACACAACTTTACAGTTTTTACAGTTTTTTCCAGCTGGAGTGATTTCCTGTGTTTTGGCTATAATGACAATACTTCACAAGACATTGTGATTCCATTTATAAAAATTCATGAATAGGCAGAATTCATTGTGGCATTAAAGGCAGAAAATAATTATTTGGGTTGGGAAATGGGCCAGAAAATGGTACTATTGGAGCCTGATGTTTCGTGTAGTGCTCACAGAATATATATGTAACTGTCAGAACTCAAACACATTAAGATATGTATCTTTTGATTTTGTACATTATAACTTAATTTAAAAAAACAAAGAAACTAGCTGGGTGTGGTGGAGCACACCTGTATTCCCAGCACTCAGGGAGGCAGAGGCAGATGGATCACTGTGAGTCTGAGGCCAGCCTGATCTACAAAGCGAGTCCAGGACAGCCAAGGCTACACAGAGAAACCCTGTCTCAACCAAAACAAAAGAAAACAAATAACCAAACCTGTCTCAAAACAAAACCTGTCTCAAATAAAACAAATAAGCAAGCCAAAGAAACTTAACTAGGAGACAAGGCTCAGCACTTAAGAACATGCGCTCTTCTAAAAGACCTGGGTTTGATTCCCAGCACGCATCACAACTACCAGTATGGCTCTGGCTTCAGAGAATCCATGGCCTCTGGCCTCCCAGAGCACCTGCACGTGCATGCACATAGGTACACAGAGACACATAATTACAAATAAAACGTCATTAAAAACTTTCTCATTTGTGTGATGTATTAAAGAGTCTGTATCAGAAGTACATACTGGTATGTTTATGAGGAAATGGTGTGTTATGTGAAAACAGTAACTGAATTTAAAAGATTGACCATGGCCTGATAATCAGAGCAAAGTGATGACTTGTTGAGAGCTTGATAGTTGTTACTTGTTTTCACTTCTGTTCAACATAGCATATAATAGAAACCTTCAAATATGTACATTGTTATTTTTGGTATTTTCACAGTTTTTGTTTATACCAATTATATTGCTTCACCTGTTACATTTTAGGCAGTTCTGGCATCACAATGCAAGTTATTTAAGACCAGAAACTTAATAATTTGACATACTGCTTAACATGAAGAAAATATTCAATAAGCAGGTGAAACGAATGTTTGCAAAGCGGCAGAAGCAAGTCCATATGTTTACCTAGAGGTGATTCTTTGGGCTGTAGATATTAAAGCCTTGGGAAAAAGCAGAAATAAAAATTGGGTGTGGTGAGAGCCTAAAACTAAAAGTATTTGGGAATGGCCTAATACTGCAGTACCAACCAGCTAACCCCCAAGGCTCAAGACCACATGGATCTGTCTGCAGTCGGTCTAAGGTACTCTGCTTGCCCTGTCTTCTACACATAGGAGGTCCCTGGATATTTCTCACTGCCCTTACCTCTTCTTTCTCTGTTATCTTCTTCCTTCCTCTTTTCTTCCCCATCTTAACACCCCTTGCCTCCATCCTGCTTCATGCTTGCTCACTTGTGCCACACTTAATTTCCTATCTCTGCTGCTGTTTTTTCTTCTTTCTAGAATGCCCTTCCCATTCTTCTGCTTATGTTAGAAAAGCAATTTCATTCTTTCCCTTTCTCCCAGTCATTTGGAAACATGAGGGCTTGCTTTGTGCTAGTGGAGAAACCAAAAGGCATAGTCCTAAAACTCACAAATATTGGGTCCAGTTAGTTTAGTTGTCTGAGATCAAGTATTGGTCCCGTAATGCATTAAATATGACAATTTGGGGGGCTGAAGAGATGGCTTAGAGGATAAGAGCACAGGGTGCTCTTCCAAAGGTCCTAAGTTCAATTCCCAATAACCATATGGTGGCTCACAACCATCTATAATGAGATCTGGTGCATTCTTCTGGCCTGTAGGCCTCCATGCAGGAAGAACACTGCAGGCATAATGAATAAATAATTTTTTAAAAATTCTCTTAAAAAAGCTACGACAGTTTGTTTTTGTTTTTAATTTCTTTTTTTATTCTTTCAAAGTTAAGTCAGCTAGGCAGCAAGACAACATCAATCAGGACCTCACCATACTCCTGTGCCATCTCAGGTTCCAGGGATCCTCATGGTAGTTAATTCTTTGACTGCACTCACCAAACCAGGTTAATTCTTCGTTTTTAGTTCACTTCGGGCATTGTTCCCATGGGATGTGAGGATTTAGTTGTTTTTACCCTGCAGGATACCCATCCTTGGTATCAGCTTTAGTCTTATCATGCATTCATTGGAATGCCAGGCGGTTTTGGCAGTAGGTTGGCTGTGGTAGCTTTGATTTTCACATTGCTGTGGGAGGAAATGGCTCTTACTGCATCCCCAGCTGGACTGTAAGCACGGCCACTTTCCCGTAGGGCTGCTCTCACTTGGACTTGTATCTGATCCTACTTGCTCAGCAGTGTGATCCCAGCATGTCCTCCATTATGCAAGTCATGTTTTAGATATGAATCTAGCTAGGGCTCTACTGTATCACTTAGAGGACTTGTACTGGGTTCTTAACTGGTGATGACTTTTAGCTGGGGTTTTCTGGAGCCAGCTTGTTCCTGTTGTGGAATTCCATGGGCTCCTCTGCCTTGGCCTCACTCTTGGTCGGCCTCCCCATCCCTCTTTCTGCTTCACCCCCTCCTTCTGTGGAGGAGCTCACCCAAAAGCTTCCTCACTTGAATTGTGTTTTTTGGTGTCAAATTAAAGATGTTTTTGTTTAGTCCTCAATTCTGAAGATTTTCTTCTATTTTTTTTCTCTAATATTTTATAGTTTTACACTTTATATTTGTCTATGAGCCATTTTTAGATCTCTTTTACATGACCTGTGAGACTTTTGTTGAAGTTCTGGTTTTTACTTATGGATGGCAAATTGTTTTAGCACCAGTTCTGAAAAAGGTAACCTCTGCCCTGCTGAGTGTTAAATGTCACCTAAACTGCAGTTGTCACTTAGTGGTCTACATAACAAGGCTCTAGGCTTGACCCCCCCCCCCAGCACTACCTTCAGAAACCTAAATTGTGGGGGTCCAAAACTAGGCCTTTTTCTGTTGTCTTATCAATTGTATGTGTATTTTTCCATCAATGTCTTTTAGTCTTACTATAGCTATATAGTAAATCAATCTCTCTGTCTCTGTCTCTGTGTCTCTCTCTCTCTGAGACAGAGTCCCAAGATCCTTGAACTTCTGATCCTTCTGCTTTCATCCACCAAATTGTGGTTTTATAGATGTATGCTACCACACCCAGCCACCAAGCAAGGTTCTCTCATATTTTCCCCAGAATGATTTACACTGAGCAAAAGCAACTTGAGGAATAAAGGATTTATTTCATCTTACACTTTCAGGTCACAGTGCATAGAAAAGAGGTCAGACCAGAAACCTGGAGGTGGGAACTGAGGCAGAGACCATGGAGGACCACTGCTGACTGGCTTGCTCTCAAGCTTATATTCTGCTAGCTTTCTGTACAGCCCAGACCCACCTGTCTAGGAATAGTGCTGCCCACAGTAGGCTGCCCATCCCACCTCCCATCAAGCAGTCAAGAAAGTGCCCCACAGATATGCCCATGGTCCAGTCTGATACAGAAAATTCTGCACTTGAGGTTCCTTCTTGCTGGGTAACTTTAGTTTGTGTCAACTTGACAGTAAAAACTAAGTAGTTGTGGAAAGGGGGTGGATATAGGTGTGGGAAAGAGAAGGGGATCTTGGACTTCTTAGGTGGCAGAAGCTCAACACGGTCTCTACCAGACTGAGGGCCAGTCCAGTTTTCTTTAAGTCCTACTAGGGCTGTAGTGCTTGTTTGTCTGTGATTAAATACCCTACAAGAGTTAGAAAAGAGATGTAGGGTCATGAAGAAGTGAAAGGAAGAGCAAAAGAAAACCACACCACACACCCTTTACCAAAGTAAAATAAACTTATCACAGTTATTAGAATGGCCTTTGTTCATCTTTAAGAAACTCCAGTCAATCCCAGCACTTGGGGAGGCAGAGGCAGGCAGATCACTGAGTTCTAGACCAGCCTGGTCTACAAAGCAAGTCCAGGACAGCCAAGGCTACACAGATAAATCTTGTCTCAAAACAAACAAGCAAGCAAACAAAAAAGAGTCGTTTGGCCTCTTGGGCATGCATGCTCGTGTGTGTGTGTGTGTGTGTGTGTGTGTGTGTGTGTGTGTGTGTGTG